GGCTCTAGGCCCAGACCCCACAGAAAGCTTGTCCCTTTAAGAGTGGACACCTTGGGCTATCAGGGAAGACACTCTTCCCCCAGCTAAGAGGGGATAGGTGCTGAGGAGGAATGAAGGGCTTTGAGAGGTCACGCCAGAGACTTCTGACCCAGTCCTGCCCTCTGGTGGGGCTGGCATTTGGATATGTGCTGTTCTATGCTGCTGGCATTTGGGTTTGTGCTGTTTTATGCTGCTGAAAGTGTCCCAGACTGCCTGAGGCCCCCACCACAGCGAAAGCAAGCCCTCTCCTGGCTCTCAGAGTGCAGATAGATGAAGAGCCTGGTGGGAATTACAGACCTTGAGGAAGAAAGCTGTCCTGAGAGAGTCAGCAGGGGTCAGCCCAGAGACCTCACATGCTGGGATGGTTAAATGCAGGTATCCATCAGTAGAGTGCAGTGAGAGCATTGAAAACTGTCAATTATCACACAGATATTTCTAAAGTACCAGTGGAGTATCTGGAAATGAATACTATACTCACTGAAATTTAAAACGCAGTGAGCAGATTATGTAGCTTATTAGATACAACATAAGAAAGTATTGGTGAATTGGAAGTTCTAACAAAAGAAATTGCCTGGAGTGGGGCACAGAAAGAAAATGCTGGATGTGGTAGCTCCCGCCTGTAATCGCAGCACTTTGGGAGGCTGAGGTGGGTGGATCACCTGCGGTGATGAAGTTGAGAGCTGGCTGGCCAATGTGATGAAACCCTGGCTCTACTGAAGGTACAAAAATTAGCCTGGTATGGTGGTGCATGCCTGTAGCTCCAGCTGCTCAGGAGGCTGAGGCAGGAGAAGCGGGTGTACCCAGGAGGCGGAGGTTGTGGGCGACAGCAAGACTCCCTTCTCAAAAAAAAAGAGAGAGAAAGAGAAAATGAGACGGGGAGCTATGGAGGAGAGAATGTGGCCGAGCTGCAGAAAGAGCAGGGGCAGGGAGATGGCAGCTCCAGAGGGTTTTTCAAGGTTTATAAGGACACAGTTATACGCGGGAGAAAGAACAATAATTACACATTTAAATATGACTCTGATGAGACGTTTTCGGAACAGCAAAGGGAAGATGTTAAAAGCAGCCAGATGTGGTGGTACACACGCCCGTGGTCGCAGCTACTCCGGAGACTACAGTGGGGAGGGTTGCTTGAATCTGGGAGGCCGAATCTGTGGTGAGCTGAGATTGCCCCACTGCACTCCATCTGTGGCTGCAGAGCAAGACCTTGTCTCAAAAGGCAGCCAGATAGAGAAGATGTTCCTTGCAGGGCACCCTCAGGCGAGTTACAGCCCCCCATCCCACCTGCACAGAGCACCCCCACGGAGGTCACATCCCCCCATCCCACCTGCACAGAGCACCCCCATGGAGGTCACATCCCCCCATCCCACCTGCACAGAGCACCCCCACGGAGGTCACATCCCCCCATCCCACCTGCACAGAGCACCCCCATGGAGGTCACATCCCCCCATCCCACCTGCACAGAGCACCCCAGGGGACATGCTGGTGGTCCCTAGAGGTAGCTCCAGGTGCTCTCACTCTCTTCTTACCTGCAGACAGCACCCCACACCCGCTGTGCTGCACTGTGGAGGGGCAGGGAGCAGGTTTTGCATCCTCTCCTCTCAGAGGGCCCTTTCTCAGGGGCGCACAGCCCTGGGTTGGCCCAGGCCGGGGGAGGAGGGCAGGCAGGCAGGCAGTGCGTGTCTCCTCTGTGGAACCTGCTTCTGTGGCACCTGAGGGTGCAGGTGCCTTCAGTGTTTGTGCACGTCAGTGACCCACTCAGCTGCTCTCAGACCATGGCGTTGCTGGGCCGGAATGGAGAGCAGACATTGTCAAGCCACGGGCTGTGGTACACAGGGGTCTCTCTCCAAGGGTAGGGTTTCTGTGGTGCGTTCCCTCTACCCCAGAGGCCACTAGAGTGGGCATTGTCTCAGGCCTGACAGACATGCGGGTTTGCTGGGCTCCGGAGCATGCGTGGGGTTTGGTGCGTGTTGTGGGCCTGTTGGATGCTTATGGCTCCAGGTGCTTGCCTCACAGTGGAGAAATTAGCATCCTGGGAGATCTGATTTCATATTGGACTTTTTTGTGTTCAGATAAGTAAAATGTCCTGTTTTGGGACTGGGGGAGCTGGGTGAAAAGTTGCTGCTTCCCGGGAGTGAGCTCTTCCTAAGTTTGGGGCAGAGTGAGGTCCCTGTGGTGGCTCCAGGCCACCATACGTAATTCACCAGGAGGCTGGCGGCACCTGCCATGTGAATTCCTGGGAGCCATGTAAAGCTGTCCTGGCCGTGTGAACTCAGTGTTTCTTCACCAAAGCTCAGAGCAGAAGCAGAGAGGAGGCCTGGTGGGGAGAGGGAGGGATGTGGCCTGGACCCTGAGGGATGAGGATCAGGCCCTGGAGCCCACCCAGGAAGTCACTGCGGGCACTGAGTCCTGCCCAGTCTGGATATGGATGCCTGCTACACGGGAGACGGCAGGCCTGGGGCTTGCAGCCACCTTGCAGGAGTGGGACAAGTTGTGTTTGCCACAGAAAGCAGCTCTTTGCTGCCCATGGATCGGCGGTGCAGTGTGGGTTCCTGGCCTGCCAGTCTAAAGGCTGACTTCTAAGGAATGCCTCTGCCTCTGCCTGTTCACCTGACACATGCCTCTTAGGATCCTTTGATAACTTAAGAACGTGGACACATCTGGCCTTTGGGATCTGAACATACTACTGCCCAAACCCTGCACCACCTCCTTCCTGTGTCCACCCCGTGTCCACACACAGCACAGAGTGGGGCTGGCCCACTTGCTTTTGATTCTGATGGTGTGCAGGGGAGTGAGGAGATGCCATGTACTCCCCGGCGTCTCCTGTGCTGTGTGAACCTTGCTGAAGTCTGTGTGTCTCGGGGATTCTGCTTTCCTCATGTTCTCAGCAGGCTTCATGTCGCTAAAACAGTAACTCCCCTGCTCTGGGTGATGGAGGGGGCAGGCCTTTGAATGTGTGTGGCTAGGTCGTGGAGGTGAGGGCCCTGCAGTGGTTCTCAGCTTCTTGTCCAGGCGACCGTGGGCCCCCATCCCGGAGAGAGGAGGACTTGAGGACTTTGGGTGGGGGGCTGGGGTCCCAGAGCACAGGGTTTCTCCAGCACCTTTGCTGCCTCTTTCCTAGAGGGAGGCAGCACACGCCCGCTTCTCTTGCTGTTTAGACATGGCTGTGGGAAGCAGCCTGGGGAGAGCCTGCCGGCGGGCAGCATAGAAAGTGCAGGGAAGGCATGGGGCGCGCACAGAGACCCACGGCCAAGCGGGTAAGCTTGGGTACAACCCAAGCTCACCACTAAGGTGTGGATACGCCAGTGGGCTGGGACTCGTGGCCAGTGGCAGGGCTGCCTCCCCACCATTGTGTTTGCCAGATTATATGAGGGGCTGGCACCAGAGCCCAAGTGCTTTCTCAGATCTGTGCATTGAGGACCTTTTGAAAGCTAGCTGGTGGTGGTGATGGCAGCCTACAGTACTTGGGGTTTTGCCCATGAGAGTGACGTGGGTCAATGTGTCTAGTTGGTCCACAGAACACACAAATCCACATTCTCAGCATGCCACAGACCTAATTCTTAAGAAGGGAGTGTAAAATAACCGTTTAAAGAATTAGGGTGGGTGGACAGTGTCTTAGGAAAACGACGGACACATCAGTGGGCACATTCACAGGCCTTTGGTGGTGAAAAGCAAGGGAGTTGCGCCCTGGAAACTGAGCCAAGACCAGTTAAGATCCTTCTGTGTTGCAGTGACCATGCAGGTGTGGGATCCATTGTTATAGATGTCACCTACTTCTCTAGGGTTAGACACCAGCTGAGGGAGAAGTTAAGTCCTTGAAGAGAGAGGCTTCTTGGATGTGCTGAATGGAAGGGAAGGGAGGTGCGTCAGAGGAGAGCTTTAGAGGGCCACGTCTCCCTGGTGGCCTTTCTTCCCCATGTCAGGCCTCTGCAGAGCCCTACCTCTGGGCTGCATCTCTGCAGTTTGCACCCCATGACCTAGAACACCCCAGAACCCACAGGGCAGCTGGAGGAGCATTTCCATCCACAGGAGGTCACTGTCAGGCAGAGGAGGAGGCAGCTTCTAGAACACCCCAGAACCCACAGGGCAGCTGGAGGAGCATTTCCATCCACAGGAGGTCACTGTCAGGCAGAGGAGGAGGCAGCTTCTATGCCCCTGGCTCTCTGTGCTCAGGGCATCGTCTTCTCTTCCCCACCCTTGCCTCCTGCCTCTTTTAAAAGACACAGCACACGAGTTGTGTTAGAAGCTGGCCTAGCATTCTGTAACGGGTCAGATGAGTGCAGGGCGTCCTCGCTTGAGGAGGCTGAGGTGGAAGCAGCCGAGCTCTCACACCGTGTCTTGTTAGTGCTCTGTGTTGATGCCTTTAGATGCCTCCAGCCCAGTCCCTGTTGTGGTGCTGCAAGGCTGGTACGCTCCTCGAAGCACCATGCCATGAGATGGAGGTGCCTAGAAGCAAGAAGAAAGGTACAGTACTGACCGGTTGGCCTTGATTTACTGATATGTTTTAAACTGTGTCTGCCATTTATATCTGCACTGTTTGTTTGGAGGAGGGATGGGGAAGGTGGAATTTAATTACAGGCACGTGTATTTAACAGAGACCTGTCCTGTGTGAGCCAGGTCGCCGGTGCTAAGCTGTCCCACCGCATTCATGTGTGGCACGAGGTCTGGGGAGGCCCAGGAGAGGTGCCTGGAGTGAGTGAATGCTTGGTGGAGGTCCAGCCTTAGCAGACTTGAGGGACTGATAACTAGGTGTTTAAATGGTCTCACAGTCACTGCTGAGAGGTGAGGTGGGCGGCACCAACACTCCCAACGCCATTGTGCTCTCCTCACTCACAGGCCTTCCTTTCTGCTCTGTAAGGTGTCAGGTGGACGCAGGGGGCTCCGTAACGTTAGGGAAGGACCTGGGTTTGGGGGACACCATGGCATGAAATCTCTCCTCCCTCTCTCCCTCGCCCGCCTCACAGAGAAGCAGGGCCCTGAGCGGAAGAGGATTAAGAAGGAACCTGTCACCCGGAAGGCCGGGCTGCTGTTTGGCATGGGGCTATCTGGAATCCGAGCCGGCTACCCTCTCTCTGAGCGCCAGCAGGTGGCCCTTCTCATGCAGATGACAGCCGAGGAGTCTGCCAACAGCCCAGGTGAGCCCGGCCTGTGGGTGGTCCCTGGCACAGGGAAGGGGCTCCGCTTGGTCACAGCCCTGTGCGAAGGACAAGCCCTGTGCAGAGGGACCTCATGATGATGGCCTGGGCTTTTGAGGATTCGACAGAGCAGGGTACCCACAGTAATGCCCACCTGTCCCCTCCTTGGCCTGCAGTGGACACAACACCAAAGCACCCCTCCCAGTCTACAGTGTGTCAGAAGGGAACGCCCAACTCTGCCTCAAAAACCAAAGATAAAGTGAACAAGAGAAACGAGCGAGGAGAGACCCGCCTGCACCGAGCGGCCATCCGTGGGGATGCCCGGCGCATCAAGGAGCTCATCAGCGAGGGGGCGGATGTCAACGTCAAGGACTTCGCAGGTGGGCGCCCTGTGCCTGGCAGGGGCCCGAGGGCCCTGCTGGAGCCCTGAGCCTCCCATTGGGTCAGAGGGTTGTGCCCTCGTGGGGCGAGCCACACTCACTCCAGTGGGGTTTGCTGTTGCTGAGGAGAAACCACTGTCTCTTGGAAAGTATTTCACAGTAAACTTGTTTGCTCTTGGTTTTATTTTTAGACAGGGTCTCGCTCTGTCGCCCAGGCTGGAGTACAGTGGCGTGACCACAGCTCACTGAAGCTTTGAACTCTTGGGCTCAAGTCACGTTCCTACCTCAGCCTTCCAAGTGAATGCAGATACACGCCACCATGCCTGGCTAATTTTTTTATTTTTTGCGGAGATGGGGTCTTACTATGTTGCCCAGACTGGCTTGAACTCATGGCCTCAAGCCGTCCTCACATCTTGGCTTCACAAAGTACTGGGATTATAGTTGGGAGCTGGCCTATTTTTAAGAGGACTGAAGAATTTTAACTTTTAATCTGCTGTGTTCTCTTAAACTTCACTTCCAGTCCCCTGGAGGGGTCTGTCCCTGGTGTGTCTAGCAAGTGACTGTGTTTCCCAGCAGAGGGCACCTCTGAGCCGGGAGCCCCAGGCTCGGTCCACACCCTGAACTCTCCTCACTTCACAGGGCTGGTCCTCAGGCTTGTCTGGGCCTGGGACAGAACTGAGCGAGCCTCCCCAGACCCAGGGGCTGTATTTTTTTTTTAAGGGTCCCAGGATTAGAGGTTAATCTTGTGTTTCTTTACATAAAATACCCACATCAAACCTGGGTGGTCCACATACCCCAGGACTGCCTGTCCACAGTGTGAGGAGAACAGTCTGTGTAGAATCCTTCTAGAGTTTCCCCACTGCCCTAGTTTAGAGCTATCTGACCCAAACCTCATTTAGCACCTTTTCTTTTCTTTTTCTAAAAGAAGCTTCTCTGGAGCACTGCCACTTGCTTCCGTGAGGCTGAGCTCTGTTTCCACGCTGTGTGCAGCCACACTGCCTGGTGGTGGGCTCCCAGCTCCCCAGGTAGAAGCTGCCTGCCCAGGTACCTTCAGCATGTAGCCTGAGCCTGGGTGCCCCTGGTGGAGCTCCTGCTGTATCAGCTCTTCAGTCTCCATCAGGCGCTCTTAGCCTCAGTTTCCCCATTTCCGACACAGTATTTCCCCTCCGTGTTCTGCAAAGACGCCTCTGCTTCCAGATCAGTAGGGATGAGGCTGTTTGCTACACCGTTTGTTCACTGACCTCCTGCCGTTTTAGGGTGATTATGCAGCTGAGCCCTGCCAGCTGTTAGTGTGTAGGGTTAACAAGCTACATATGGATTGTGCTCACAAGGGGTGCCACAGTCAGAGAATTTCAGGGTTCTCTGGGCTGGCACCTGCTCCCCTCAACTGCAGCGCTCAACAGTGCAGCTCCCCAGCTCGCTTGTCCCTTGTCTTTTAGCACATCCTCAGGGCGCTGTCTCCAGAGACAGGAGTGGCGTTACCGAGGATCACATAACGTACGTCCTGAGTGTCTGTTTCCAGGCTGGACGGCGCTGCACGAGGCCTGTAACCGCGGCTACTATGACGTCGCGAAGCAGCTGCTGGCTGCAGGTGCGGAGGTGAACACCAAGGGCCTGGATGACGACACGCCTTTGCACGATGCTGCCAACAACGGACACTACAAGGTTGGCATCTCCCCTCGGCCCTCCACACTGGCCTGGCCTGGCATCTGGGTGGTTCTGGGGCTCTGTCCCCACAGCTAGCCAGTTCCCTTGTGTGTGGCACCAGAAAGCAAGTTTTTGCCACCTCCCACCCTGAAGGCCGAGCTATGCCCTCTGTCTGCCTCCAGCTTTCCCATCCGGGGTCAGCACCTGGACGGCCTCTCACAGGTTTCGCAGCAAGCGCCATCTATGGAAAGGCTCATATCCACTAGCCGTTTAGGTCTGGTTGGATTTTAGCAGGTGAAGGATTCCACCTGCAGGAAGGAGGCCTGCAGGAGTTGCTGCTGGTCCCCGTCACCACTGTGGGGCTGTTAGACCTACAAGGCAGACCCACTCTCGTCTGGAATGAGGTAACACCAAGAGGTGTGGCCAGTGCATAGGACTTAGCCTCAAGATTTAGAAAGTGGCCATTGTGGCCGGCCCAGAAGCAGTGGGCCTGAGAGGTCTCAGCCTCTGTTGGGGGGCAAGAGAGGTCATGGGGTCCCTGATACCCCCATCCTGCTGGAAAGCAGGGGTGCTGCCTGGAGATGGGGCGGGTCTCACTGAAGTCATCCGCAGAGCTTCGTGGAGAGCCCCTGCTTACAGGCAGGACAGCAAGACCGGGTGCACATTGCCCTTGCCCGGCAGGCTCCTCTGCAGCAAGGCCCGCCTGGACATTGCCCTTGCCCGGCAGGCTCCCCTGCAGCAAGGCCCGCCTGGCCACTGTGGGAGGTCCTGGAGCCCGCAGCATCTTGGCCTTAAGGAGCACACTTGGGACACGGCTCGTTCCTGCAGGGTGGGGGGTGATTGAAGACTTTGAGACAAGCAGGGATCTCAGAACAGAGTCAGTGTTTGATGTTAAAACGTGACCATTAAACTTGTAGGTAAGATGATGAACAGCATTATGGTTCATTTTGTTTTTTATGGGCCCTTTCAGAGACATGAACTGGAGAAAGCTCTGTACTGTCTGGGTTCACTCAGCACTGCAGGGAAGGGCAGGCACGAGGGGAATGGTGGTGGTGGGTGAGGGGGCTGGGGCACCCAATGCATCTTCATACTTTTGTAATTACTGCTTTTAAACTTTTCATTATGAAAAACGTCAAAGACCCTGGAATTATGGCATGGTAGGCAGGATAATGGCCCCCAAGATGCCCGTGTTGTGACCGCCAGACCTTAATAGCGCGTGGCCTCATGTGGGGAAATCGCCCTAGTTCACCTGGCAGGCCCTGGGCAGCCCCATGGGCCCTTAAAGCTTGAGAGCCTTTCCTGCTGAGTCCGAGAGAGACCAGAAGCAGGAGAGGAGGGTAGAGCCCAAAGAGGGCCGGACCTGCGCTGCTGGCCTTAGAGGAGGGGCCGAGGAGTGTGGTGGCCCCTAGCAGCTGGGACTGGGGACCTCCAACCCAGCCCTGCAAGAACCTGAATTCTACCAGCAACCCCCATGATGGAGGAGAGGAAGGACCCAGCCCTGCCAGCACCTTGACCTCTGACCTCCAGAATTGTAAGCCTGAGGTTTTGTTGTAGTTAAAATAGAAAACTCACACACATAAGAACTCTGTGCCGATTAAACGGTGTCCTATACGAACTGGGAATGGATTCTGTGAGCGACGAGAGTCTGTATTAAACTTTATTACAGATTCTTTGAATGCTCTAGTCTCAGACTGGACTGAAGTTGGGTTAAATTTAATATTTGTACTTGAGTTCAGTGCGTTGCTACTCTGGGCATAGGAAATGCAGGTTGCTGGTGATAAGCAGCTGGACAGAGCTGTGGAAACGTCACCATGGCTGTTCCTGTCATTCGTGTGACCACCCTTACTCTTGTAAAATCAAGCAAGGGAGAGATTATTTTATTTTCTAATGTAAATGAAAATAAAGAATAAAGCAGCTTGCAGAAACTTGGTCTTTGTTTCCTCTATTCTGTCCCCACCCCCATAACACGCTTCTCCCTAACCTCTTGCCTGTGCCCTCCACGTCCACTCCGGCACCACTCTGCTGAGGAGCTCACTGTTGGCGGGAGGGGAGAGCCTTCGTGAGAAGATTGCTGGGAAGTCCTCTACTCACAGCAAAGGAGAAACGGTGGAAAATGCAAAGGAGGCAGAGCCTTTCCGAAGGAGAGTACAGGAGGGGTGCGGGAGCCCTGGCGGCCACAGCCCTTCTCGCAGAGGAGCCACAGCCTCGCCCGCCGCGCCCGGAGCCTCGCCAGGCAGTCCCTGTGCGCTCGGCTCCCACAGCCTTGGACCGTGAGGGGCTGCTCTCGGGTCGGACCCTGGGGCTCTTGGAAGGGGCTGCAGTGTTGTACAGAGCAGTAGAGGAGCTGTGCGTCTCCAGCAGGCCCTGATGCAGGTGTTACTGTCTTGTAGGTGGTGAAGCTGCTCCTGCGGTATGGAGGGAACCCGCAGCAGAGCAACAGGAAAGGCGAGACGCCGCTGAAAGTGGCCAGCTCTCCCACGATGGTGAACCTTCTGTTAGGCAAAGGCACTTACACCTCCAGCGAGGAGAGCTCGACGGGTAAGTCACGGCCACCTGAGCTGCCTGTTCTTTTATGCAGGGAAGGTAGGAGCTGCTGCCCTGTGGTGTGTGCGGTGCTGCCCCTCACATCAGCTCCTCCTTGGATGCTGGGGGTTTACAGGAGCTTCTGGACTGCGGGAGACCCCGCCCAGGCATGTCACTGCCGAGAAGCCTGCAGTCTTGCTTCTAAGATGCCAGCCCTGTCTGTGAGCTGAGTTCTGTCTGGTTTCCTGCTGCCCGTGGCTGGTTTCCATTGAGTCAAGCAAAGTGCCTCTGCAGAGGCTGGGTGGGAGCCTTACCCCAGGGCACATCTGCAGAGCCTCTCTCCTCTGCCGTTAGGGGAAGAGCTCTTTTGAGCCTGCCTGTGACCTCTCCCTTCCTGCCTCCAACAGAGAGCTCAGAAGAGGAAGACGCCCCCTCCTTCGCACCTTCCAGTTCAGTTGACGGCAACAACACGGACTCTGAGTTCGAAAAAGGCCTCAAGCACAAGGCCAAGAACCCAGAGCCACAGAAGGCCGCGGCCCCCGTCAAGGACGAGTATGAGTTTGACGAAGACGATGAGCAGGACAGGGTTCCTCCGGTGGACGACAAGCACCTGTTGAAAAAGGACTACAGGAGAGAAGCGAAGCCCAGGAGCTTCATCTCTATACCCAAAATGGAGGCTAAAAGTTACACTAAAAACAACACGATTGCACCAAAGAAAGCGCCCCATCGCATCCTGTCCGACACGTCGGACGAGGAGGACACCAGTGTCAGCGCGGGCACAGCGGAGAAGCTGAGACTTTCGGCACATACGCTCTTGCCTGGCAGTAAGATGCGAGAGCCTTCTAATGCCAAGCAGCAGAAGGAGAAGAACAAAGTGAAAAAGAAGCGAAAGAAAGAAACAAAAGGCAGAGAGGTTCGCTTTGGAAAGAGGAGCGACAAGTTCTGTTCCTCAGAGTCGGAGAGCGAATCCTCTGAGAGCGGGGAGGACGACAGGGACTCCGTGGGGAGCTCCAGCTGCCTCAAGGGGTCCCCGCTGGTGCTGAAGGACCCCTCCCTGTTCAGCTCCCTCTCCGCCTCTTCCACCTCGTCTCACGGGAGCTCTGCCGCCCAGAAGCAGAACCCCAACCACACAGACCAGCACACCAAGCACTGGCGGACAGACAATTGGAAAACCATTTCTTCCCCAGCTTGGTCAGAGGTCAGTTCTTTATCAGACTCCACAAGGACGAGACTGACAAGCGAGTCTGATTACTCCTCTGAGGGCTCCAGTGTGGAGTCGCTGAAGCCAGTGAGGAAGAAGCAGGAGCACAGGAAGCGGGGTGGGCTGCAGGGCTGCCCATTGGAGAAGAAAAGCCCCTTCCTCTCCAGCGCGGAGGGTGTGGTCCCCAAGCTGGACAAGGAGGGGAAAGTTGTCAAAAAACATAAAACAAAACACAAACACAAAAACAAGGAGAAAGGACAGTGTTCCATCAGCCAAGAGCTGAAACTGAAAAGTCTCACTTACGAGTATGAGGACTCCAAGCAGAAGTCAGATAAGGCTATACTCTTGGAGAATGATATTTCCAGCGAAAGTAAGTTAAAAGTGTTAAAGCATGATCGAGACCACTTTAAAAAAGAAGAGAAACTTAGCAAAATGAAATCGGAAGAAAAAGAATGGCTCTTTAAAGATGAGATCATGAAGGTCTCCAAAGATGAAAAATCACTGAAGAGAATCAAAGACATGAGCAAAGACATTGGCAGGTCTTTCAGAGAGGAGAAGGACCGTTCGAATAAAGCAGAAAAGGAGAAATCTCTGAAGGAAAAGTCTCCGAAGGAAGAAAAACTGAGACTATACAAAGAGGAGAGAAAGAAGAAGTCAAAGGACCGGCCCTCAAAATTAGAGAAAAAGAATGATTTAAAAGAGGACAAAATGTCAAAAGAGAAGGAGAAGGCTTTCAAAGAAGATAAAGAAAAACTCAAGAAAGAAAAGGTTTATCGGGAAGATTCTGCTTTTGACGAATATTGTAACAAAAATCAGTTTCTGGAGAATGAAGACACCAAATTTAGCCTATCCGATGATCAGCGAGATCGGTGGTTTTCTGACTTGTCCGACTCATCCTTTGATTTCAAAGGGGAGGACAGCTGGGACTCGCCAGTGACAGACTACAGGGACATGAAGAGCGACTCTGTGGCCAAGCTGATCCTGGAAACTGTGAAGGAGGACAGCAAGGAGAGGAAGCGAGACAGCAGGGCCCGGGAGAAACGAGACTGCAGAGAGCCCTTCTTCCGAAAGAAGGACAGGGACTACTTGGATAAAAACTCTGAGAAGAGGAAAGACCAGATGGAAAAGCATAAAAGTGTCCCCGGCTACCTTTCGGAAAAGGACAAGAAGAGGAGAGAGTCTGCAGACGCCGGGCGGGACAGGAAGGACGCCCTCGAGAGCTGCAAGGAGCGCAGGGAAGGCAGGGCCAGGCCTGAGGAGGCGCATCGGGAGGAGCTGAAGGAGTGCAGCTGCGAGAGCGCCTTCAAGGACAAGTCTGACTGTGACTTTGGGAAGGGCCTGGAGCCGTGGGAACGGCACCACCCTGCGCGAGAGAAGGAGAAGAAGGACGGCCTTGATAAGGAGAGGAAGGAGAAAACCAAACCAGAAAAATACAAAGAGAAGTCCAGTGACAAGGACAAAAGTGAGAAGTCGATGCTCGAAAAATGTCAGAAGGACAAAGAATTCGATAAATGTTTTAAAGAGAAAAAAGATACCAAGGAAAAACATAAAGACACACATGGCAAAGACAAAGAAAGAAAAACGTCTCTGGACCAAGGGAAAGAGAAGAAAGAGAAGGCTTTCCCTGGAATTCTCTCAGAAGACTTCTCTGAAAAAAAAGACGACAAGAAAGGCAAGGAGAAGAGCTGGTACATCGCTGACATATTCACAGACGAGAGTGAGGACGACAGAGATGACTGCATGGGGGGCGGGTTCAAGATGGGAGAGGCCGGCGACCTGCAGAGGGTGGACAGCCTCCAGGAGAAGGAGGAAGGGCGGGAGAACTACGCCGCCGACAGACACAGGAAGTCCTCCTCTGACAAGCAGCACCCCGAGAGGCAGAAGGACAAGGAGCCCAAAGACAAGAGAAAGGACAGAGGGGCTGCCGACGGAGGGAGAGACAAAAAAGAGAAAGTCTTTGAAAAGCACAAGGAGAAGAAGGATAAAGAGTCCACAGAAAAGTACAAGGACAGGAAGGACAGAGCTTCAGTGGACTCCATGCAAGACAAGAAAAATAAACAGAAGCTCCCAGAGAAGGCCGAAAAGAAACACTCTGGTGAAGACAAGGCTAAAAGCAAACACAAAGAGAAGTCGGACAAGGAACATTCCAAGGAGAGGAAGTCCTCGAGAAGCACCGACATGGAAAAAAGCCTGCTTGAAAAGTTGGAAGAAGAAGCGCTCCATGAGTACAGAGAAGACTCCAATGACAAAGTCAGTGAGGTCTCCTCTGACAGCTTCACGGACCGAGGGCAGGAGCCGGGGCTGACTGCCTTTCTGGAGGTCTCTTTCACAGAGCCACCCATGGAGGACAAGGCCCGGGAGAGTGCCTGCCTCCCAGAGAAGCTGAAAGAGAAGGAGAGACACAGACACTCCTCATCCTCATCCAAGAAGAGCCACGACCGAGAGAGGGCCAAGAAAGAAAAGGCCGAGAAGAAGGAGAAGGGCGACGATTCCAAGGAGGGCGGCAGCAGGAAGGACTCCGGCCAGTATGAAAAGGACTTCCTGGAGGCGGACACTTACGGAGTTTGTTACAGCATGAAAGCCGACATCGAAGAGGAGCTAGATAAAACCATTGAATTGTTTTCTACCGAAAAGAGAGAGAAAAACGATTCTGAGAGAGAACCTTCCAAGAAAATAGAAAAGGAACTAAAGCCTTACGGCTCTAGCACCATCAGCATCCTAAAAGAGAAGAGGAGGAGGGAGAAACACCGGGAGAAATGGAGAGACGAGAAGGAGAGGCACCGGGACAGGCATGCAGATGGGCTCCTGCGCCATCACAGGGACGAGGTGCTGCGCCATCACAGGGACGAACAGAAGCCCGCCACCAGGGACAAGGACAGCCCTCCCCGCACGCTGAAAGACAAGTCTAGGGACGAGGGCTCGAGGCTCAGCGACGCCAAACTGAAGGAGAAATTCAAGGACAGTGCAGAGAAAGAAAAGGGCGACTCAGTGAAAATGAGCAATGGGAATGATAAGGTAGCGCCAGCCAAAGACCAAGGCAAGAAAGAAGCCAGGCCCAGGGAAAAGCTCCTGGGGGACGGCGACCTGATGATGACCAGCTTCGAGAGGATGCTCTCCCAGAAGGACCTGGAGATCGAGGAGCGGCACAAGCGCCACAAGGAGAGGATGAAGCAGATGGAGAAGCTGAGGCACCGGTCTGGAGACCCCAAGCTCAAGGAGAAGGCGAAGCTGGTGGACGATGGGCGGAAGAAGGGTCTGGACGTTCCCGCCAAGAAACCATCAGGGCCAGACCCTCCGTTTAAAGACAGAAAGCTCAAGGAGTCCACTCCTCTTCCACCTGCCGCCGAAAATAAGCTGCATCTGGGATCAGGGGCAGACTCCAAAGACTGGCTCTCAGGGCCACACATGAAGGAGGCCCTGCCCGCGTCCCCCAGGCCTGACCAGAGCCGGCCCACTGGCGTGCCCACCCCGACGTCGGTGCTCTCCTGCCCCAGCTACGAGGAGGTGATGCACACGCCCAGGACCCCGTCATGCAGCGCCGACGACTACGCAGACCTTGTGCTCGACTGCGCTGACTCCCAGCACTCCACGCCTGTGCCCACCGCTCCCGCCAGCGCCTGCTCCCCCTCCTTTTTCGACAGGTTCTCTGTGGCATCAAGTGGGCTTTCAGAAAACGCCAGCCAGGCCCCGGCCCGGCCTCTCTCCACAAACTTGTACCGCTCGGTCTCTGTTGATATTAGGAGGACCCCAGAGGAGGAATTCAGCGTTGGCGACAAGCTCTTCAGGCAGCAGAGCGTTCCTGCCGCCTCCAGCTACGACTCTCCTGTGCCGCACTCGATGGAAGACAGGGTGCCCCTGCCTCCTGTTCCCACGGAGAAGTTTGCCTGCTTGTCCCCAGGGTACTACTCCCCAGACTATGGCCTCCCCTCGCCCAAAGTTGATGCCCTGCACTGCCCGCCGGCTGCCATTGTCACCGTTACCCCGTCTCCAGAGGGCGTCTTCTCAAGTTTACAAGCAAAACCTGCCCCTTCACCCAGAGGGGAGCTGCTGGTTCCTTCTCTTGAAGGGGCCCTTCCCCCGGACCTGGACGCCACCGAGGACCAGCAGGCTACGGCCGCCATCATCCCCCCGGAGCCCAGTTACCTGGAGCCGCTGGACGAGGGTCCCTTCAGTGCCGTCATCACTGAGGAGCCTGTGGAGTGGGCCCATCCCACTGAGCAGGGCCTTGCTTCCAGCCTGATTGGGAGCGCCTCTGAAAACTCTGTCAGCTGGCCCGTGGGCTCGGACCTCCTGCTCAAGTCTCCGCAGAGATTCCCCGAGTCCCCTAAACATTTCTGCCCTGCGGACTCCCTCCACTCTGCTGCCCCCGGGCCCTTCAGCGCCTCAGAGGCGCCATACCCTGCCCCTCCTGCCTCCCCTGCCCCGTATACTCTGCCTGTCACCGACCCAGGACTGGAGGATGTCAAAGACGGGGTGGAAGCCATTCCGGCTGCCATCTCCACCTCAGAGGCGGCTCCTTACACCTCTCCCTCCGGGCTGGAGTCCTTCTTCAGCAACTGCAAGTCACTTCCGGAAGCTCCACTGGACGTGGCCCCTGAGCCTGCATGTGTCACTACTGTGGCTCAGGTGGAGGCTCTTGGGCCCCTGGAAAATAGTTTCCTGGACAGCAGCCACAGCCTGTCTGCCCTTGGCCAGGTGGAGCCGGTGCCCTGGGCAGATGCCTTCACCGGCCCCGAGGACGACCTGGACCTGGGGCCCTTCTCACTGCCAGAGCTTCCATTGCAGACGAAAGACGTCCCAGATGTTGAAACAGAACCCACAGAAGAAAGTCTTGCTCCTTCAGAAAAGATCCCTCCAGGGGCCCCTGTGGTTGTAAACGGTGGGGACGTTGCCACCTTGGTGGCTGAGGAACCACCAGCATTGCCTCCAGACCAGGCCTCCACCCGGCTCCCCACAGAACAGGAGCCTGAGCCCACAGAGGAGCCAAAGCTGGACGTGGTTCTCGAAGCTACGGTGGAGGCAGAGACGGTGCCCGAAGAGAGGGCCCCTGGGGATCTGGACTCCAGCACGGAGCCCCCACCCATTCCCCCTGAACAGCACCACCCACTGGGGAGTGGAGACCAGGGGGCTGAGACCGAAGGCCCCCCTGCTGCATCCCTCTGTACCCCTGATGGCCCCCCCACGGACGCTGTGGCACAAGCCCAGGCCACAGACAGTGCTGGTCCCCAGGACAACGCTGAGGCCTCCCGTGCTGCTGCCCCAGCCGAAGGCGCTCCCGGTAGCATCCAGCCAGAAGCCACAGAACCAGAACCAAAACCCACGGCCGAAGCCCCTAAGGCCCCCAGAGTGGAGGAGATCCCTCAGCGCATGACCAGGAACCGGGCACAGATGCTCGCAAACCAGAGTAAGCAGGGCACACCCCCCTCTGAGAAGGACTGTGCCCCTGCCCCCGCCCCAGCCACCAGGGCCAAGGCCCGCAGCTCCGAGGAGGATGACGCTCAGGCCCAGCATCCACGCAAACGCCGCTTCCAGCGCTCCACCCAGCAGCTGCAGCAGCAGCTGAACACGTCCACGCAGCAGACTCGGGAGGTGATCCAGCAGACGCTGGCCGCCATCGTGGATGCCATCAAGCTGGACGCCATTGAGCCCTACCACAGTGACAGGGCCAACCCCTACTTTGAATACCTGCAGATCAGGAAGAAGATCGAGGAGAAGCGCAAGATCCTGTGCTGCATCACACCGCAGGCACCCCAGTGCTACGCCGAGTACGTCACCTACACGGGCTCCTACCTCCTGGATGGCAAGCCGCTTAGCAAGCTCCACATCCCTGTGGTGAGTGCGGGGCCTGGGGAGCCACTGTCTTCTCTCTCTGGAATGAGTTCCTCGAGTCCTTTACGTCCTGCTCCCGGCCCTTGACCTCTCGAGCAGAAGGCAAAGGCCGGAAGCTACACAGCTGTTCTGCAGACCTGAGGCCCTTCCTCCAGCCGGCTCTGTGCCAGGCCTTGGTCTCCTGATGCGTCCTCACCCTGGGTGCACCGCAGTACCACATGTCGGGCTTTCCCTTCACGCCGCTCACCGTCCCCTCTCCGGTCCCCCTCCACCAGGATGGCCTCAGCAGAGCCACAGCCTCTTGTCTTTAGCCCCCACCCCCCTTCTCCCCTTGGACCCTTGTGGGTTTCCCTCAGCGCCCACACCTGCACGTTGGGTCCTTTCCCCCACCTCCCTGGGCCTCTAGAACAGCAGACGCTGCAGCTCCCTCTGGGCAGGGTGGTCTTAACCTCTGTAGTCTCAAGCGAAACGTCTCTGAACCACCCCCACTCCCTCAGCCCCTTGTGTTCCATCTGGACCCAAACAAATCCCTCTGAATGGGGCCCTGCTCTGAGCACTTTCCCACATTAGGCAGCCTCCCGTGTGCATCCTCTGCCCTGGGCTGCAGGGCCTGGCTGGCATCTCACCTCCTAGCCCACCAGGGCCTTTCCCAGCAGGCACGGGGATTCCTCGCTGTGGAGCCAGAGCTAACCCATCTCTGCTTGGTGACCGCCTGAGTTGCGCGAAGCCTCCCCTGCTCTCCTGCTCCCAGGTCCCCGGGGTCCATCCAGTCCCAGGGTGTGACATTCTCCTGGCCCTTTCTTGGAGTCCCCTCCCAGACCACGAGACTCCGTTCACACTGTGCCTGGCAGATTGTGTGGTTGATGGAGCCGTCTCACTGGAGTTTGTTGTGTTATGCCCAGAACAGGCTCTTGGTCACCAGCGGCCATTTCCTTCTGGGGATTCCTGGCCACTGAAACCTGCAGGTGGTGCAAGGCACAGTTGGGCCTGCCCCACGCATTGGCTCTGTGGGCCTGGGTCTTCTGAGAGCCCTCCCGGTGCTAGCCCCGACTCGGCTCAGCTACCCAGCATCCCTTGGAAGAGGACCATGGGGTCTGCTGAGCTTGCCCTGAGGGTGAGGCTGGGGTGAGGCTGCTGCCCGTCAGGGAGGCTGTGCAGGACCCCAGGATTGGGCGCCCGCAGGCCCCACCCTGGTGAGCTCTGAGCTCTCTGTTCTCTGGGAGCACAAGGGGCTCTGCACCCAGGGTGGTCCTTCTCCTGGAGCCCTGACCCTAGCCGTCCCCGAAGAGGCTCGTCCACAGGAGGTAGAGACTGCAGTTGGGTTGCGACATTCAGAAAAACCTGCCCTAGGGTCTGTCCTCAGTAAGACCTTTTGTACTTGTCTTTGCTGTTTTTTTCTTGTTTTAATGTATCAAAACAGTAGTCTGACTACTGTAGAAAATTTGGAAAATACAGGGGGGAAAAGCCACCAGAATCCTGCCCATCAGAGTAATCCTGGGAATGTTCTGTGCATCTCCCGCCTGGTCTTTTGAGTTCCCCCCAGACTTGGACCAAGGCAGGCAGAGGTGCCAGGTGCTCCAGGGGCGGCCAGAGGCCCACTGCACAGCCCCTGCTGCAGGTGGCAGCCCCAGGGCTGAGCCGGAGGAAGGGGCGGTACCGTTCCCACTGCAGGCTGTGTGTTAGAGTGCGCGTCGGTCCCACCTTGGAGGTGGCCCACAGAATCTCTGCCACAGACGGGCAGGTTGCATCTCAGCTGAAAACCCACACCCAGAACCCCCATTGGGGGGCTGGGCTTGTCAAGTCGGGGTAGATACGGTGGCAAACAGTGAGGTCTGTGAACTAGAGGCTTAGCTACGCTTTTTAATCATTAATTTTGAACTGATTTTACTTGGGCAGAAAAGTTCAAAGGCAGCAGAAATGGGTTTGGCCCCTGCCACATGCGCATCCTCCCCTGAATGTGCCTGAGGAACCCTGCAGGTGACAAGGCCCTCCCATGCCCTGTCTCCTGGTGGGCCCTTCTGGGAGTGGCAGGCAGCGGTGTGGTCAGAGGCCCCATGCCTGGCCTGCGATGACGGCTGTTAGGCAGGAGCCCACTGGCATGAGGTGGGGCCTTCTGCTCCTGGTGTCCTAGGTGGTGTGACCTGGAGACCTCGTCAGGCCGTCCACTGTGAGCTGAGGGCTCTCCCTCTGCGGTGGGTGTGTGTCTTGGGGAAGAGACCTGTTGGAAGCCTGTTTCTTTGAGACCACTGCCCATGCACATGGCAGTCACTACTGTGCCTCTGTGTCCCTCTCCTGCATTTCCTCACTGGAGCTCTGCTGGCTGGAGCTGCTGCCCCTTCTGCCTGCAGGTTCCCAGAGTCACCAGTGTTTGGCCGTCTGCTGGGAGTCGTCCAGCCTTGGCTGTCAGGAGCTCCTCCTGGGCGCCCTCTTCTCCGTCCATGTACCCCCAGCACCCCTGTTTTCTGGCTGGCCCCTCCATGTTTCAGCTGGTCTTGGCCACCCCCTCCCACTCTGCCATCACCACGTGGCCCCACCTGAACGGAGCCCCTGAGCACATGGCCGTGCTTTCTGTGTCTGCTTTGGAAACCTCACTCCCTGTGGGCCTGAGATCTGCCCTGCACCACGGGCCTCAGCCTGGCCCGACGCTCCTGTGTGTCCCTTTTTTCTGCAACAGTGCAAGGCTTCATCGGCCGGGCACGGTAGCTCATGCCTGTAATTCCAGCACTTTGGGAGGCCAAGGCAGGCAGATCACAAGGTCAAGAGATTGAGACCATCTTAGCCAACATCATGAAACCCCTTCTCTACTAAAACACAAAAAATTAGCCAGGCACGGTGGTGCACGCCTATAATCCCAGCTACTCGGGAGGCTGAGGCAGGGGAATCGCTTGAACCTGGGAGGCAGAGGTTGCAGCGAGCCTGAGATCCCCCCACTTCACTCCTGCCTCGATGACAGAGTGAGACTCCGGCTCAAAAAAAAAAAGTGCAAGGCCTCGTCCTGATGGTCTCTGCTGTCGTTACTTCCTCATTCACTTCCCAGGGTGCCTATAGTTTCAGAGTCATGACCCACCCTGTGAGGGCCCTCCCACTGGGTGGGGGTGCAGTGCCTCCTCACCATGCCTCCGGCTGCAGCCCCACTGCCCTCCATGGGGACCTCTCCCAAGACCAGAGGCTTGGTTGTCAGCCTTCATATTCCACTGTGGGCATTACACCCTGGTTGAAGCTGACTTGGGGTGTGCGGACCCTCTCTCTGAACACAGGCAGCTCAGACTACCCCAGCCCGCTCCTGCTGTCTTGCTGTATTTCTTCTGCAGAGTTGGGTGCTCACGCCTGTGCTTCATGCCCTCCTTGGCACGCCACAGGCATTGTCCTGTGCCTCTCCCTGCACTCCTTCCTGTCCTCACATGGTGCCGTATGGGGCACCGTGTAGGTGCCCGGTCTCCTGTGTCCTGCACTTCAGTGGTGTCTAGAAAGCTTCCTGTTGCTGGGACTGGAGGGGTCTCCAGGGTAGGCTTCTAGGAGTGGGGAGGCCGAGTAGGGACCTCCCTGAACTCCAGTCTGTTGTTAGTGCAGTGCCCCAGCCAACCCCCGACTCACCTTTCACCTGCAGATCGCACCCCCTCCCTCCCTGGCGGAGCCCCTGAAGGAGCTGTTCAAGCAGCAGGAGGCTGTCCGGGGAAAGCTGCGCCTGCAGCACAGCATCGAGCGGGTAAGGGTGCCGGCACGGGCAGGGCGGCCACGGTGCAGGGCGTCCACAGTGCAGGGGCCCGGGGCTGTCTGTCTTGTGGGGACAGTGGGGCCTGGGGCGCCGACATGGGCAGAGGCGGCCACGGCCAGGGTGTCCACGGTGCAGGGGCCTGGGGCTGTCTGTCTTGTGGGGACAGTGTGGCCTGGGGCGCCAACATGCGCAGAGGCGGCCACGGTGCAGGGGCCTGGGGCTGTCTGTCTTGTGGGGACAGTGGGACCTGGGGCGCCGACATGGGCAGGGGTGGCCACGGCCAGGGTGTCCACGGTGCAGGGGCCCAGGGCGTGGTTGTGTCCCAGCTCACCTGGTTCCTCTCCTCCAGGAGAAGCTGATCGTGTCCTGTGAGCAGGAGATTCTGCGGGTTCACTGCCGGGCAGCCAGGACCATCGCCAACCAGGCAGTGCCATTCAGCGCCTGCACGATGCTGCTGGACTCAGAGGTCTACAACATGCCCCTGGAGAGCCAGGTAGGGCCGTCTGCAGGTCGCATTCATCCGAACACCCCCCCGCCCTGCCACCCCTCCCCTTTACAGATTCTGTACTTTGACCAGGAGCTTCCCAGGTGCCCCTGTGCCCCTGTGCCCCGGTGCCTTGCAGGGGCTGCAGAGTCCTTTGCGTACCTCTAGCCTTGGGCGAGCCTCAGAAAGGAGCCAAGAAGGCTGGAGCCGAGAGTGGACAGCTGTCCTCACGGGCAAGGCCCTGGGCCTCAGCAGCTCAGTCCCTGCGTGCTCCTTAGACCTCTGAAACCCTTGTCCATGCAGTTGGAGCAGCTGCCTCTACCTCAGCAGCTTTCAGGGCTGGCCTTATTTCCTTTTAAACTGCTGGGCTCCCCCTGCAGCTCTCAGGCACCCCAGGGGCTGTCCTGCGGGGACACCCACACCTGGATGCGCGCAGCTTTTCTCAGCCAGGATGGACCTGACCTAGGGTCCTAGAACCACAGTCACACTGTCTGGCCCATCCGCTGTGGGGCTCCACCCACTCCTGCCCCTCCCCTGCCTTTGACCTGTTCTATCCACTGGGACACAGGACGTGGACGGCCAGGGCCCTGTGCTCTCCCCTGGGCAGCTCTTCCTGTGTGCCTGCAAGTGACCCATGTGCCGGGGCCTCCTGCCTTAGAAATTGTTCTCCAGCCACCACTGATCTGTCCGTGTGGGCCCCGTGGACCCCTGGCTCCCCCATTGCCTGCCCTGGATCAGCCCCTTCCTCCCCTCTGGAGGCCCTGCACTCAGGTCATGGGGTCCCAGGGTTCCAGGCCCCACATCCTCCATAGGGGATGCTCCTAGAACACATGCCCGCCTTGGTGTCCAGACCTTGCAACAAGACTCATAACGTGTGCCCCTCCTGTGATGCCACCTAGCCCTGGGCACTCCGAGCAGCACCAGGTTTTGCTGTGTGGTCACAGGCAGGCTCTCCGCAACGTTCACTTGAAAATACCTCTTAGTGCATTAAAGAGCTTCCTTTCTTTGGGGATGTATTTTATCAACGTCCCTTGTTTAAACATTCTACACAGTGACAGATTTTCTTTAAGGAAAACATGAGTTGTACCAAACGATGCTTTGGGGACTGGATGCTGAAAAGTGTGGGTTCTCGTACCCGCTGAAGGCCGTGATGGACCAGCGGTCAGGACAGCACTGTGCAGACTGAGCTTGGTGGAGAGCAGAAACGAGCAGAACCAGCTCAGGCTTCTCACACAAACCTTCCAAGGAAGCACGCTTCCCCTCTTCAGTTCTCACGGGGAATGGGGTGTCTGTCCCCTCAAGCATTTATCCTTTGAGTCAAACAATCCAGTTAAAATACGCAATTTAGTTGCTGTTGCTACAGTCACCCTGGTGCCATCAAACAGGTTTTACTCACCTTCCTTTCAGTACCCCCTTGACCATTTCTTCCTCCCTGCCCAGCTCTCAGTCCCCTGCCCAGCCTCTGGTAACCCTCCTCCTCCTCCTCCTCTCTCTGTCCATGACTTCATTTGTCAAGTGAGAGCATGTGGTATTTGTCTTTCTGTGCCTGGCTTATTTTACTTAACATGATGACCTCCAGTTCCGTCCATGTTTTTGAAAACGACAGGCTCTCCTTTTTTGTCACTGAATAGTACTCCATTGTGTATGTACCACATTTTCTTTATCCATTCATCTGTTGAGGGGCCACCAAGTTGCTTCCATGTCTTCTCTACTGTAAACGGAGCTGCATCGAACATGGGAGTGCAGATCACTCGTAGATACACTGAGTATTGCTTGCTCTGTCACTGAAGCCGAGTGCAGTGGTGGTCTCAGCTCACTGCTGCTTCTGGGGCTATCCCCAGCAGTGGGATTGCTGGATGCTATGGTAGCCCAATTTCTAATATTTTGAGGAACCACCAAACCCGTTCTCCATAGTGGCTGTATCAATTTACATTCCCACCAGCCGGGTACCAGGGTGCCTTTTCTCCACATCGTCGCCAGCACTTGCAATTGCCTGTCTTTTGGATAAAGGCCATTTTAACTGAGTGACATGATAGCTCACTGTAGTTTTTATTTGCATTTCTCTGATGAGCAGTGATGCTGAGCTCCTTTTCAGATGCCTGTTTGCCATTTGTGTGTCTTCTTTGAGAAATGTCAATTCAAATCTTTTGCCCGTTTTTTGATCGGATGATTAGATTTTTTCGTCTAGAGTGGCTTACGTGCCTCACAGGTTCCGGTTCCGGTTGTGAATCCTGTGTCAGATGAGTGGCTTGCAGATGTTTCCCCTCTCACTGTGCCCTTTGTTGTGCACAAGCTTTTCAACTTGATGTGATCCCAGTTGTCCATGTTTGCTGTGGTTGCTGTGCTTGTGTGGTATTGCTCAACTTTTTGCCCAGACCAGTGTCCTAGAGATTTTCCCCAATGTTTTCTTGTAGTAGTATCATGGTTTGAGGTCTTAGATTTGAGACTTTAATCCATTTTGGTTTTGTTTGTATATGGTGAGAGATGGGGTCTAGTTACACGCTTCTCTGTGTGGATGTCCATTGTCCCCAGCACTGTTTATGGAAGAGACCGTCCTTTCCCTGTGATTGTTACTCTGTCCTTGGCCCCTTTGTGGAGTTTGTTTCTGGGTGTGTTTATGTCAGTGCTCTACATGTTCTGAGAAGCAGATGGTGTCATCAAGGCCACCGTGAACCCTCTGCTGTGTTACTGAGCCCACTGAAAAAGGGGAGGGAGCCCAGACATTTTGTCCGTGTCTGTCCCTCACCAGGACACAGGGACAGTGATATACCTAGAAAGTCTCGCCCAGTAGACTTTCTTAATGTATTGAATATACATTGAATGATTGGATGATGAGATTTTTTTTGTGTAGAGTGGATTACATGCGGGCTGAGCCCTGCCTGTCCCATGGGGCAGGGTTGGGGACCAGCTCAGAGGCGGGGCCTGCAACCTCCCGGTGCCTAGGGAACAAAGGCCCAGCTGCCTTCACATACATTTTAGGGAAGCTGTTTGGGGAGATGGGGCAGGGTCATGCCTCCATTCTGGAGAGATTGTTCTCCAGCCACCATGCCTTGAAGGTAATGAAACACGTGGGCGGTGGAATGAGGTTGACCCTTTGGTTTTTCCCTTGAGAAAGGTCACTGTAGCATTGCCCAGGCTGGTGCAGCTTCTCGTAGTGGTCTCCGGGTCTTCTGATGAAACCCGTGTTTGGTTTCCACAGGGCGACGAGAACAAGTCAGTGCGTGACCGGTTCAACGCCCGCCAGTTCATCTCCTGGCTCCAGGATGTGGATGACAAGTACGACCGCATGAAGGTCAGTGCTGCACTTCTTCCCCCACAGCTCCGCCTGGCACTCCAGGTGCCCCTGGGGACAAGGGAGGCTGCTGCCCAGTGACAATTTCAGATTCTCTTAACCTGGCCCATGCTTGCAGGGAGGCGAGGTCCTGCCCCTGTACGTGGCCTCCTCCAAGTCTTCCCTTCTGTCCAGCTGTGCAGGAAGCGGCTCCTGTCACCAGCTCAGCAGGGCCCTAGGCTTGATGGTCAGACCTCCTGAGACTGCCCTGTGGGCCCCCTCTAAAGTCTCGGCGTTCGCCCTCCGCTGCTCTGAAAATACAGGCCAGGGCAGCGGGCAGAGGCGGGGTAGGCGCTGGGAAGGGCAGCACACCCTCGGTCCCAGTCGCTAGGGCTGCTCACCTGGACACCCAGAGGATCCACTAAGCAGCAGTGGAAAGTGGCAACTTGCCAAGTTACAGAACTATAAAGTAAGCGTCACACTGCACAGTCGCCCACCAGGCCTGGGAGCAGGCGGCCCCGGCTACCTGCAGAATCAGGCTCAGCACCTCTCAGGTCCCTGAACCAAGCACCCCGTGTCATGCTGCAGCTCTCAGAAGGTACTAGTGTGGGCACAGATGAGAACCAGCAGCCCTACCTGTTGGGAGCCACAAGTCCTTGTGAGGTGTGGCCCTTGGGGGCTTGTGCTGAGGCAGGAGCTCAGGTCTGAGCTGTAACCAGCCCCAAGATGATGGTGCGTGAAGTCACTCACATCACACCACACCCTCCCTAGGCCCTTTCTAACTAAAGCTGTGAGGAAAACTGACTGAAGGCTCTAAAAACACACAGGAAAGACTTTCCTATAAGATAAATAAATGTTTGACTACATTAAAATGGGACTTTGGGCTGGGCACAGTGGCTCCCGCCTGTAATCTCAGCACTGGGAGGCCAAAGAGGGCGTATGACCTGAGGTGAGGAGTTTGAGACCAGCCTGGCCAACACAGTGAAACCCCGTCTCTACTAAAAATACAAAATTAGCTGGGCATGGTGGCGCATGTCTGTAATCCCAGGTACTTGGGAGGCTGAGGCAGGAGAATTGCCTCAATGCAGGAGGCAGAGATTGCAGTGAGCTGAGATCGCACCATTGCCCTGCAGCCTGGGGGACCAGAGTGGAAGTCTGTGTAGTACTTTAGATACATTCACGAATTAAATACAGTTTAAACTGTGTACATTCAGTACATTAACAGGGCACAGAGGGTTATAGTGTCAGTGTAAAAAGAACTCTTACAAACCAGTGAGAAAAACGGTGCACAGAAAATAATTTATATAGAGGCATTCCACAAAGGAGAGAAAATGACCAAACCTAATGAAAAGATCTTCACTGTAATCGTTAATGTCGGAACCATAAATTAAGCAACTTCTCACATAATGGGAAGCGGGGTTGGGGGCAGTATCACTGCAGTATTAGGAGAAGTTTTAATTAGACTTTTATCAAGTAAACTGTGACAGTATCAAATTTCAAAATGCTGTTATTACCTCACCTAGCTATTTCACTTCAGTCATTTAAAACTGAGGGATATGGCGGGTGCCATGACTCACACCTGTAATCCCAGCACTTTGGGAGGCCCAGGCAGGCGGATCACCTGAGGTCAGGAGTTCGAGACCAGCCTGGCCAACATGATGAAACCTTGTCTCTACTAAAAACAGAAAAGTTAGTTAGCCAGGTGTGGTGGTGGGTGCCTATAATTCTAGGAGACTGATGCATGAGAATCACTTGAACCAGGGAGACGAAGGTTGCAGTGAGCCGAGAAATATATGTTGAGAAAAACTTGTTAGGGTTTTGCAGTGTGGTACATATCTATCTATACACAAATTAACTGGGCATGGTAGCACCTGTAATCCCAGCTGCTCGAGAGGTTGAGGACAAGGCTGCAGTGAACCATGAGTGCACCACTGCACTCCAGCCTTGAGACCCTGTCTCCTGTGGCATATCAGCACTTCCTGTGCCACGCTTAAATTTCTCCATGAGTTCCCAAATACATCCTACCCCAGTCTGGCCCCTCATATGCACTCTCAAATGGCATAGTTTCTACTCTAAATACAAGTCACACTATCACTAGCCATACAGAATTATCAAATGTAGAAAGCACAAAGCTGTTTGATTGTAATCGGCTGTAGTGGCTGCTGGACGTGAGCCCCAGGCCAACCCAGAGCAGCGGGCAGGGACCTCAGGCGGGGTTGGCACAGACAGCAGTAATGGCGATGGACACCCAGCACAGCTGGCGCTACCAACATATGTAATAACTAGTTGCCAGGGCAGGTACAGCTGGTCCTGGGCATGTGCCCCCTGACAGCAGCACCACAATGGGCAAAGGGCTCCTTGGGGCCTGGCCCGTCCCAGGGTAGGTTCACGCCCCTGCTGGGGGAGGCAGAGTCTGGGGCTCTCCCTTCACTCCTCCTCCCTCTCCCCACCGTGTGTCCCGCAGACCTGCCTCCTCATGCGGCAGCAGCACGAGGCCGCGGCCCTGAACGCCGTGCAGAGGATGGAGTGGCAGCTGAAGGTGCAGGAGCTAGACCCCGCCGGGCACAAGTCCCTGTGCGTGAACGAGGTGCCCTCCTTCTACGTGCCCATGGTCGACGTCAACGATGACTTTGTGTTGTTGCCGGCATGACACCGCAGGATGGCCGCAGGACGCAGGCGAGGGCGGCACTGCTGCCCAGGGCTGCTGCTGAGCCCCAGGGGTGGAGGAGGGAGCGCCATGTCCACCCAGGCGGGGAGAGACCCCGAGAGAGACTGCACTTGGCCACAGCGTCTCCATCCCTTCCAGACTGGTCCAGACGTCAGGGAGGTGAAACATGTCTCTTCTCCACCAGCTGCTGTGGCAGGGGCAAAGCCCCCAGAGCCTCACCGGCCCCGGCGGGACAAGGATACCATGCCGGCCGCACACATGGCAGCTTCTGTCTGAAAACGGTGACCTTCAGGCCCTTTTCTCCAGCCAACTGCAGAGGCATTTCAGGAGTTGAACGGAGTGCATTTTTAAAACTTTTTGTTCCATTCTGATCAACTAAATAAAAATAAGGTGTCCACCTCTCACAGACGGTGACCTGCAAGTCGGAGGGGCCGGAGTGCCATCCCAGCCATGGTCCTGTTGCCACAGAGTTGCGACGGCCTGAGACTGGGCTTTTGACCTGGTGCGGAGCAGGTGCTGGCCGTGCCCCTGCCTATGCACAGGGACAGAGCCAGGACTCCCCGGAGTGTTTTTAATGGAGTCAAATCCACGTGGTTTGTATATTTTTTCCTTTAATCTTGGGCATTTTGTTTCTCTTTCTGAGAACATAACTTGAAACACTACAGAGCCAATAATCATATAAAAAGTGTATCCGTAAGTGCTGTACAGTTTTATATACATTCACAATGTACTTTTGCTGCCTTCTAGATAATTTATTTTGCAACACATTACTGCACAGTTGTAAATAACTTATGTACTGTAACATCACTTTCAGTTATGTGTAAAGAAATAAATAAATTAATTAAAGTGCTCTTTGTCCAGTGTGTCCCTCTCAGGAGAGGGGCTGTGTGTGGGATTGAGACACTGTCACTCCCCAGACAGGCGCAGTGGCTCACACCTGTAAACCTAGCACTTTGAGACCAGCCCGCCCAACGTGGTGAAATCCCATCTCTACTAAAAATACCAGAATTAGCCAGTGTGGTGGTTGGTGGTGCATGCCTGTAGTCTTAGCTACTTGGGAGGCTGAGGCAGGAGAATCGTTTGAACCCGGGAGGTGGAGGTGGAGGCTGCAGTGAGCCGAGATCCTGCCACTGTAGGAGGCCCTGTCTCAAGAAAACCTTTTTCAGCCGGGCGTGGTGGCTCACACCTGTAATCCAAGCACTTTGGAGGCCAAGGCAGGCGGATCACCTGAGGTCGGGAGTTCAAGACCAGCCTGATCAACAAGGTGAAACCCTGTCTTTAAAAAATAATAATAATTACAAAAACATTTTTCCTCTCAAACTGTTAGCTTTTAATTTTGAAACAAATTATATTTTCCCCTCCTCCTCTGCCATCACACAGAGTGGGAACACTACAAGATTACTGCCTCCTCAAGGTGAAGGCGGCTCCTTGGGGCGGGAGCCTGTTCCTCACCGCTGGTTGCAGGCACTTGTCCTGCTCTCCCGGGGGACCGGCTCAGGGGAGCCTTTATCTTGCTGCAGGGCCGTGCAGGAAAGAAGAAGGCCAGCCCTTGGCCATCTGTTCCACGAGGCCTGTGAGAAGTTGGAGAGAAACAGCGTCACTCCCTACAGCTCTGAGCACTGCAGCCCTGAACAGACCTTGTGGCTAGTGATTCAAGTCACAGCTGGCTGGCTTGTAGCACCACTCTCAGCTCCCTGGCAGCTGCAGCTGGCGAGGGAATCCAGGGAATCGCTGCTTTGAGAGCCCTCGTCCTGGCCAGAAGGCAGCTTGGGCCAGGCCTCCACTTAGATGGTGCTGTGCTCTGTGGGGTCCGGGCTCAGAGGAGGCCTGCCAGGGCCCTCCAGCAATTGTGGCTCCAGGAGACTCTTGATGCTTGGCGTGGCAGAGGGTGAGTTAATAGAGGTGCCTTACCCTTTTCCTTTGGATCCCTGTCTCCCCTCCACCTGGGGGGCTGGGGAAGGAGTAGCAGCTGTAGAAACAAACCCCATAGAAGAGCAGAGCCTACCCATGCATCAGAAGCAATGGGGGTCCTGGTCACTGTGTCCCCTGCAGAGGAGCCTGACCTGGGAGGGTCCCTGAGCCGTGCCAGGCAGAGCCGGTGGTGGGGGCAGTGCCTTCGTTCCCCGAAAGGCCCCTGTGAGCTCCCTCCATGGCCAGGCCCCTGCGTGGGGTTGGGGGTGGGTATGAGGCTGTGCCCTCTTCCTCTGACTCCTGTCTTCCATATGTGCATAAGGCTTTTGTGGATTCCTTCCAGTTCCCTTCAGGGCTCAGCCTGGGCAAAGGCAGGGTGTTCCCACCTCATTTATGACCTTGTGGGTGGGGCTATGGAGAAGGCCACAAGGTTCCAGTATATTTTTTCTGTGTTTGGACTGGCTGTGGTTTGAGTTTTTTTGTTTTTGAGATGGAGTCTTGCTCTGTCCCCCAGGCTGGATGCAGTGCAGTGGTGCCATCTTGGCTCACTGCAGTCTCCACCTCCTGGGTTCATGCAGTCCTGCCTCAGCCTCGCAAGTAGCTGGGATTACAGGCAGCCACCACCATACCTGGCTAGTTTTATATTTTTAGTAGAGACGGCATTTCACCATGTTGGCCAGGCTTTCCACCCCTCCCCACCCCCTCTTAACCACAGAACTTTGGTCCAGTGAAACGTCCTGTAAACCCTGCTTTAAAGGGAAAATCTGAGTCAGCCTGTATCACACGGAGTGCTCTGCAGCACCAGCCCACAGCGGTGACGGCGCCCACCCAGGTCTGCTGGAGTCAGCTCCTGGGTACCTGCCAGGGGTGCAGTTCCCATAGAGCCTGCTCCCACAAGGGACAAGTGACAAAGCCTGCCGTCTTCAGAGAGAAGATCTGTGAATAAATGCTGACTTAACATCAGAGTGCCCAGGACTGCAGGAGCCTTCATGCCAGCCTGGAGACCCTGCTGCCCAGGGCCACCCATGTGGGCATCAGACCGCCCTTGGGAGGCTCTGGCTGGAGCTGGAGGAAGATGGCGCAACCCTGCCCACTCACCCACATCAGTGTGCCCCAGTGCCACCCAGTCCCTGCCTGGGGCCCAGGCTCTGACCGCCTGACTGGTGACAGGGTCCATACCCTGTAACTCCAGGCTTCCTGATTCCTTAACTTCCAGATGCTGTCAGGACCGCACTTAGCAACAAAACCCAAAGCACAGAGCAGGTGAGTGAGTGATCGGACCCCGGGCGCTTCAGGGAGGCCAGCGCCCTTCCTGGCACAGCGCCCCTCCCTGGCACAGGGTCTCTCTTAGGGAAGCCATCACCTTGCCAAGGGGTAGGATCTCAGGCTTCAAAGGAAAAAGGGAAAAAATTGGGGGCTTTTTCTGTTAAAGACGAGAAGCTGGTGGCTTTTGTAAAACCCGGAAGGAGGTGAAAGGATTTCATGAAAAGCCCCCGGCACAGAGAGAGGGCCTGCCCTGCCCAGGTGACCTTGCTGCGTCTGGAGTACAGGTCTCCATCCAGAGGTCTCCACTTCCAAGTGGTAACTGGGCCTGAGCCTGGCAGGAGAGGAAGGGTCCCAGCACATGGAGACAAGCAGGGCGGGGCCTCTATCTCCCCCACACCAGGGAGCTGCTTTTCTCCTTCGTGTTGGGGGACAGGGAAGACAGCCCCACAGGATATTAGAAAGAACAGGGCCCAGCTTGCCCCTGTTGAAAAGCAAAATGAAATACTGAAACTAGAGGGACCAGAAGGCAGCCACGGTATCGGCCAAGAGCTCAAGGACGGGGTGGAAGTCACACACCAGAGCTGGGGTGGTGAGGCCCTGTGGCTGGGCACAGAATGTCTCTCACATCTGAAATTGCCTCTGAAAGTGGAAAACTGGAGATGTGGCTCAGACCTATGTTCCAGCTCAGGAGGCTGTGGCAGGAGATCACTGGAGCCCAGGAGCTCAAGGCCATAGCAGACCAGGAGTGAGCCTGTGAATAGCCACTGCCCTCCAGCCTGGGCAGCTCGGTAAGACCCTGTCTCTAAAACCAAAAATCAGGCTGGGTGTAGTATTTCACACCTATAATCCCAAAACTTTGGAAAGCCAAGGAAAGAGGATGCTTGAGCCCAGGAGTTCAAGTCCAGCCTGGACAAACAGAACCCGTCTCTTCAAAAACAAAAACCAGGCGTGGTAGTGCTTGTCTGTGGTCCCAGGTACTCAGGAAGCTGAGGTGGGAGGATTTCCTGGGCCTGGGAGGCTGAAGCTTCAGTGAGCTGTGATGGTACCACTGCCCTCCAGCCTAGGTGACAGAGCAAGACTCTGTCTTCAAAAAAAAAAAAAAAAAAAGAGAGAGAGAAATAAAAGATAAGGGCTGGGCGCGGTGCCTCACACCTGTAATCCTAGCACTTCGGGAGGCCGGGGTGAGTGGATCACCTGAGGTCGGGAGTTTGAGACCAGCCTGACCAACACGGAGAAAGCTCATCTCTACTTAAAATACAAAACTAGCCAAACGTTGTGGCGTGTGCCTGTAATCCCAGATACTTGGGAGGCTGAGGCAGGTGGAGGTTGCAGTGAGCCAAGAGCACGCCACTGCACTCCAGCCTGGGTGAGAAGAGTGAAACTGCGTCTCAAAAAAGAAGAGAAAGGACCAAGTTAAAATAGCAGCTAGAGCCATTTACCCTGCAGTTAAGACCCTCAAAATTAAGCAGAGGGGGAATAAGCGACAAATTTAAAGCAGTGGCTCAGCCTGTCATCCCAGCACATTGGCAGGCCGAGGCAGGCTCAACGCAAGGTTAGGCATTCAAGACCAGCCTGGCCAAGATGGTGAAACCCCATCACTACTGAAATGCAAACAATTGCTGGGATTACAGGCATGATCCGCTAAACTCAGCTAAAAGACTTAAAGTCAGCTTATGTACAAAGCACTAAAGGAAAGTATGTTGAAAGAACTAAAATGATAGTATGAAAATTGTCTCACTAAATAGAGATAAATTATTCAAAAATAAAATTAACTGGAAATTCTATAGTTGAAAAGTAAAGTAATTGAATTTGAGTCGGTAGAAGCAAGAACCAGCAAACTTGAAATAGTGCAACTGAGATAATGAAATGTGGCCAGGCACGGTGGCTCGGAAGCCCAAGCCTGTGCGAGGCTGAGGCGGGCAGATCCCTTGAGCCCAAAGGTTTGAAACCAGCCTGGGCAACATGGCAAAAGCCCGTCTCTACAAAAAAAATTAGGTGTGGTGACATGCACCTATAGTCTGAGCTACTCAGGAGGTTGAGGTGGGAGGATTGCTTGCGTCCGGGAGGCGGAGGCTGCAGTGAGCTGAGATCATGCCGCTGCATTGCAGCCTGGACGACACAGCGAGACTCTTGTTTTGTTTTGTTTTTAAAAAGCTCAGAAATGTAGTAAAAAGAAACAAGGGAATTTAAATAGAATGCTAGAAAATATTTGTTTAACACAAGAAGGCAGTAACGGAAGAGGCGAGAAAGGAAAGTCACCCAACACACACACATGGCAAAATGGCACAAGTCCTTAACTGCAAGTGGATTAACCCTTCCAGTTAAAAGGCAGAGACTGAAAACCCAGACTCAATTAAAAACAAAAATAAAGACAACTAGACAGTTCAACAGCAATGGTGGCTGTGGGTCACCCCCCACATGGGCACCAAGGAAGGAGAGCCGTGCAAAGCCAACGCAAAATTAGTGCCTGAAGACTATCTTACAGTGTTATTACTCAGCGATTTCCTTTCTATAACCCTTTATATATAGTCATATATTAGTTTATGGCATTAGTGCCTGAAGACTATCTTACAGTGTTATTACTCAGCGATTTCCTTTCTATAACCCTTCATACGTAGTCATATATTAGTTTATGGCATTAGTGCCTGAAGAATATCTTACAGTGTTAT